ACGTAGTGTTATACATTGCCGAACAAGCAATGATGGAAAAATTTCCGATCTGACTTCATCTGGGTTTGGCATACCGAAAGGGTTTTGTGACATTGGGAAAGGTGCCGGCAAAAAGCCTTGGTACAGAATATTATTTAGTGCACTTCGGCGAGGAGCACAGCAGGAATCATCGGCACACTTAATTATTTGAAGAAAGTATTGACTTTCACGATTCCCATACCAGATGTCAGAAACTTGTGTAGGTTCCGGAAGGACTTCTCCAGGAGGCACATATTCTGCTATCACGTTGTGGCCGTCAATAACCACCTGGGACCAAATCTCAGCTAATGTTTCGCCTGAAAATAACAAATTAAAATTTAGTTTTTAATACTATGGTAAGAGAGAAGACTGTATGCCACTCTATTAAAATATACCTGCATGCTGAAAGTTTTTCAATTCTAGCTCATTATCGATGGTTTTCCCTTGAGAATCGAGATGGGACCCGTAGTGCTCATAAGGAAGTACTACCGTGGCTAGCTCACGGCTCAATGGCGCCATTCTTCGCTCAACTCGGTTGTAAGCCGATCGACCGGGTGCATTCGTAAACATAAACAGCCCGTCCAAATCGTACTCTTTAAAGTGTGATATGACCTTTTTATAGCGTGGATTTTCATCCGGTCCTCCATCCACTGAAAAAATCATCACAGGTTTAAATTTCCCGTCCTTTCCTAAGGCCAGATTTTTAAAATCATCTAATGTGAGAAGTTTGATAAGGTCTTTGGCGTGAGTTGTTGCTGTCGAACTACTATGCTTTCCACTGCGGATTGTGATATATGTTGGACCAGAATATGTAACCGCTTATTTTCTACCCATGCAGTTCTCTTTGATTATGATACCAGCATACACAGATGGAGTCAGTTGGTGGCGTACTCCAACAGCAAAATCATGGTCATCGAGGCGCACTTTATAACTCAGATGTATTAAAACAGGATCCTGTACCTTTGCAGCTGTTTTTCCAATCGGTACCTTTGCCTTATCATCTTGAGAGATAAAAACTACTTGTTCAGGCCCAAGTATAGATGCAAGTTCCTCGAGACCGTTGGCAGTAGCCTTGCAGAAATGTTGATCGACATGATCTCGGTGTCTATCTGTTTGTGCTCGACACAGTCTCACAGGTACACTTGTGACATGGCGCTTGCCCTCTAAAGACCCAGCAAACTTTGGAATCAGCCTACGGTATGTGGAGGTTCGCGAAATTAAAAATCCATCTTCAACAAGCCGTGCATGCAATTCATCAAGAGTCTTACAAGTTCTCAATACTTCTGATCGGCGTCGATCAGCGGCTGAGCTTCCATGTGCTGCTATGTCACAAATTGCTTGAAGAAGGCCTGACTGATTTTCTTCAAGTGAAGGGCGTCCTGGCTGAGTGCGTATAGACGAAGATTGCACGTTGGGATGAGCGGATTTCAGGCTCAAAACTTCGGTTTTTTGCTTTGCCCTAAATTTTCGCATGTTTTCTGCACGTACTATTTTGTTCTTTAACTCTTTTTTCTTCAAATCAGTATCATGCCTTAATTTTTTTATTTCCTTCTCAATCCCGTCTTTTCCAAGTCCTGCATCTCGCTTTCTTACGGTAGCATTTAATTCGGCTTCAAGTACTGAAATTTCAGATTTTAAAGCATTCTGTTTTGGTGTCGGAGCTGTTGTAGATACAGATGAAGAAGGTATTGAAACAGAAGGTTGAACGGAAAGTTCATTGCTACTGTAGGCTAGAAAAATAATGTAACCAGTATTATATCACTACCCATAAAATGAAAAAATCAAAATCTAAGCTACGAAAGTTAGAGAAAAAATATACATCGACATTGGCAGAGCAGAAAGCGGTTGGTTATACCTTTCCGAGATATAGAAACCGACTCTGTAGTGTTATTATTGACATCTTCGGTGCTGGGAAGCATTTTGAGATCACCTTGCGTGGTTGAAGCTTTTCGTGCAGGTAGCTACATTCACCAAATGCAAACAAGAGACACACATCACCAATGTTCAAACATTCAAATAATATAAATCATTTAAAACATTCAACAAAATACGCTCAGAATATTCACCTTTACGAAGAAATTGAGGAGACGAGCATTTTTCTTAGTCGCAATCTGACAAAGTTCTTCGATTTTTAACTGTGTGAGACGCTCCAGCTCCTTTGGGTTGTTTTTGTACTCATCTCTCAAAGGCACCCAAAATTCATTCGTCTTTTTCTGTATTGTCTGCATTGACAAGGAATCCTTGTGACATTTAATAAACGCATTGTACAGCCGATCGTACAACGACATTTAATGATATTTAATAATATTTTTATAAGGACCAAGACCTGCTTGCTTTAAAAAGCATAAAAGTGTTACTTTTGCTATTTTGTAGTCAGCAATTCAAACCAAGACGAATTTATACAAGGTGGTGTTGTCTAATCAGCTGATTTCTTCGCCTTACATGTATTTTACTTTTGATTTTACTGACACACAGTTTACAGTACACGTTAACTTTGGGGCGAATTCAGATTTGACATAACACCCGCAATACAAAATACATGTGGTTGTTGTTGTTTATTCTTGCTACCACCTTGTATAAATTCGCCTTGAATTCAAATGCTACTAAGTATCAGTTTTTAATCAGCTGACGTCTGTTCGTCAGTGTTGCCATCTGTGGGTTTAATAAATAATATAAAAAAAACTTTTTAATATACAACGCTTTTATAAATGGACTAAAAAGTAGAAAATAATACTTCTCAGTCCCATAGAATTTGTTTTGATAACTTTTGATTTTGAAATTTTAGCAAAAGTCATTATAAACAATCTATGAAATTGAAAATGAAAA